GTGTCATTCCACAAACCAAAAGATCACCGGTTCAATTCCTAGTCAGAGAATATGCGTGGGTTGTGGGTTTGGTCTCCAGTTGGGGCACATACAGAAGGCAGCCAGTCGACGTTTCTCTCTCCACGTAGTTGTTCCTCTCCTTCTTCCTCTCTTCCCCTCTTTATAAAAATTAAAAAAATAATAAATTTTAAAGGAAAGAAAATAAGCTTCTCTATTTTCAAATTTATACATTGCCTCAAAATAAGTCGCTAAGTTTTTATCTTTTTTTCAAGATTAAGTAGCTATTTTAATACAATATTATTACCTTAAAAAGAACTATTTATTTTCAAATGCAAATAGGAAAAGTAAAGACAGACGTATAATACCATATACATTTTTAGCACGTTTAATGTTTGCTTTTAAAAAAAAAAACTTTATTTTTAGATAATTATAGATTCACATGCCTTGGTAGGAAATTGTAGAGAGAGATCCCATATACCCTTCATGCAGTTTTCATTAATGGTAACATCTTATAGAACTGTGGTACAATATCCCAGCAGGAAATTAACGCTGATAAAATCCACAGACTTTATTCAAATTTCTCTAGTTTTCATGCAGTGATTTGTGTCTGTTTATTTAGTTCTCTGCAGTTTTATCACATGTGCAGATTCATGCGACAACTTAATTCCAGCACAAGGATCCCTTGTAAACACAGTCACCTTTGCCTCTTTCTCAAACTTGGCCACCATCATTCTTTTCTCTAGTTCATAATTTTGTCATTTCAAGAATATTATATAAATGAAATCATAGCAGTATGTAACTTTTGGGGTCCACTTTTTTTACTCAGTATAATCCCCTTGAGGTAAATTGAGAGCTTTTAAAAGGGATTTGCAAAGAAAGTGTAACATTTTTTTCCACTGGACCTGTTGCTTGCCCTTTAGTTAAAAAGGTGGAATCAGCATCACAAAGGCAAAGGGTTTCCCTCTAATGTGAGGTAGAGTACTCCAATACTCAGCTTCTTCTTCAGAGACTCTCAGAGAAGTTGTCCCTCTTCTTATATACAGCTTGATCTCTTGGTAGAAAACAGTAGTATTTCTTTTAAAGGGCATGGTCTACCTCCACAATCATCTCTTTTATGTCCAAAGACCATTCCAGTTAATTCCATCTTTCATTCTCTTTTTCTTCTTTCTCTTATTTTTTTTTAATCCTGACCAACTGAAAACAAATTGCTATGTAATTAAGTTCTAGATGAGGTTTCTGCAAATCGATATAATCAATTTGACTGAAAACATTTTTTTAAACTTTAAATTACATGCATTGAAGAGTTCTTGTTGTTCCCATTGGCTTTACAGGAAATGATCATGGTAGTTCTACCTCACTAATAGTCTTGTTTTGATTTGTTTGCCTCAGAAATAATTATAAAACATGTAATTCATTTGGATGATCAAAATGGCACCTCTTGAGAATTTCATTACATAATAGGAGCTCCATCTCATATTAAGCCATCCAGAGTCTTGATTAATAGTTTTATCTTTTAGACAAATATGTATATGTAGTATATCATATTTTAAGGTGTAAATAGGAGTCTTGTTTTTAACTCATTGTTGATATGTCGAGAATCCCATTACCTCACAAGCAGGGGTTCTTTTAAGGTGATTTATAGGTTGACTTAGCTCGACTTCAAAGAAGTAAAAAGGCCTTTCATTAATAAATATTTAGATAATTAGTACATAATCTTTTAAAGGGAACTAGCTCATATTTGGAATTATATCTGCATCTCCATATCACTACCAAAAAATTACTGTTATCAATTTCCATTCTACATAGTGCACTTACCATTTGATAAAATGCCCAGAATGCTAAAACCTCGATTTAAATTTCAGTGCTTCTCTTTCCAGTCTACATTTCCACTTGTATCTTGAAACTAAAGAAACTGAAATATTATATTAGTCAACAAATATTGATTGAACACCTACAATATTCCAGGCATTGTTACAAGCACTGGAAATGTTTTTTAGGCAATGTATTACTTCACTTATCAACTTAATTTTTTATATTTATTACTGTTATTTTAAGTTTTGGACATAAACTTCCTTCCTGAAGCAGCCTGTATCTGTTATTGCCAGTTTAGGTAATTTTAACTATAAGATTGGTAAATTCTTGGATTTATGTATTTATGGGCTTGCTTTTGCATTGTCATATTTCCTTTTTTCCCCATCCACAGAGGTGATTAGGTTTCCTCTAAGTACATTTTAAAATCTTACCCTGTTTTTTGTTCTCATTTTGTAGCCCAAAGCACTTTCAAACTCAGCCACGACTTATAAACTCAAATGTTTTCTGGGGCCAGGCAGGTATCATAGGTACATGAAGCAGAGTAGTGTAAGTAAGTAGGGATTGGAAAGGTCTGTGTCAAACTGAAAAATTCATACCCACCTGTAAAAATTTTAAAAAACATTTTTAACCTATGTCAAACACATCTACAGCCTAAAAGTTTCCAACATTCTGAACATCTAAACAAATTTTGTTAGACCATTGATTTTCAGATATGAAAGGGAAATATCAATGCATTGGTGATGTGACGTGTACCAGTTTTAAAACAGGAAATACCTAGAACTTTGCAGTATGAACCCAAACCTAGTTAGTGTTAACATATTTATTGGGTGAGCTGTATATGTTGTTTTGTTTTAACATATTGTGGACATCTTGTCAAATCATATAAATCTGTATTTCATGTCATTTAACAACTGTGACAATTTCCATTGTAAGGATTTATGATCATTTGTTTTCCATTTCTCTATATTAATGGATATTAGGAAAAATACAAAATGTTCTTTGATGTCACTATTACAGATTCTAAGGATTAAGTCTTTTTTCTTTGTTATTTTTAAATATTATAATTTGAATAAAAACACAATAGAAATTTAAATTTAAAAGATTATTCTAAGAAATAGTAGGTTCATATCATTTATATAACTCTTAGGAAGCTTGAATTTAGTTATATTTCTTTCTGGTTAAACAAATATATTTGGCTGAACTGTTATGGGAGTCATAATTGCCTGGACATTAAGTAGTTTGAACCTTTTAGAAGATGCTGTGTAAGTTCAGAGCATAATATATGTATTAATATTCACACATAAAGAGACAGCTATGAACAGTGAGGTATCTGTTAGAACTAAAGTCCACCTTGTATTGAATAGATAGTTATTGGGTTCCTTGATTTAAGAATCACTCATTACTTGTTTATTACAGGAAAGAAATAAGATGGTTATTCCTTACAGTTTAATCATTTTGGCAAACCACTACTTGAATGTAGTGCAAGTAGAACTTAAAAAGTTTCTGGATCATGTCACTTCACAGCAGTGTAGTTTCATCAGATTGCTTCCTGTATTAAGTTCTTTGGTCTAATTTCATTCTAGTTAAGAAAGAAAGGCAGCAAAAAATTCTTACTGGACATTAGTAGATACTTGGAATATAGATTTCTGTTTTTAACTATAAAAGATTTTTTTTTAATTGAGATAGACTGTGCAGTACCATTAGAATACATTTTCTAATATGGAATCCAGTTTCCTATCTGATATGGAACCCAGTTGCACCCCAATGAACATAGAATTGTCTGCATGTAGCATTTTTCTAAATGAGATATTTTGTGGCTTTCAGCTCATTTTCAAAGTGGTGAAACGCTGGGGAGTGGCGCTGATCCTGGTGGTAGTAGGTAGTAGATCAGTGCTCTTGTGTCCTGATGGTGCTGCATCAGCCATCAATTTATCATTGTAGCCTTTGGCATCTTACAGATTTTCTGGTAATTTTTTTTATAAGAAAAAAATACTGGTAATCGAAGATGAGAGATTGGGTAATGTGGGACCTGGCACAATTCGAACTGGTACAGTGACATTCTTTGTTCTTTATATATAAAAATGCAGGGTATAGTCCCAGGGCTCAGCTCTGGACTGGACCCACCTTTTAGGAGGGTCTTCTTTGCTGTCCTAGAAAGGCCCAAAAGTATAGGAAACCTTGCTTGTATTTCTGTAACTTATAGGGAAATGAATGGGTGTTGTGATTTTAAAAAATAGTAACATTAATTATAGGTAAAAAGAAAAATTAAAAAGTGAACATTTTGGAAAATGTGTTAAGAATGGCATATTAGCAAATACCTATTTAGTGAGAAATGTAAACCCAATGGATCTCAAAAATTTTAATTCTGTTTACACTTTAGGTTTTTCACTGAGAATCTATGTTCTTTGTCATACATAGCTCCTCCTCCCTCTCCCAAGAAAATACATAATCATGCATTTGGGATTAAAATAACTGCTATCATTGATTTCTCTATTAACTATAATAAAGTTCTTTAAAATTATAGTTTCTGATTAATTCGTTTAGGTTTAAATAATTGGAAAGAATAAAAAAGTTTTATATAATTTATTTACTTTATTTTTTCCTAAGAAGTAGATTAACAACTAAATTTTTTTTTCTGTTTAGTGATCTTCAGGGTCACCATTTTTAGTAGTTTTGCAATGGAAAATACACGTTCTGTAGTAACAGTGATAACCTGTAAGATTCCATTTCTGAACATTGTTGGAGTAAAGACGTGATGGATTTTTGGTTTTCCTTTGTTCATTTATTATGGCATATCTATCCGCTCTTCCCTCATACATATTAATAGTAGAAATAATATCATATATCAAATTTCCATTTTCTAAAAATGTTTTACAGCCCTCACTGTTGTGGCTTACTTGGTTTGGTGTCATCCTACAAAGCGAAAGGTTGCTGGTTCAGTTCCCGGTCAGGGCACATGCCTGGGTTGCTGGTTCAGTCCCTGGTCAGGGTGTGTGCCAAGAGGCACAGTCTCTTCTCTCTCTAAAATTAAATAAAATCTTTTAAAAAATTTGTATATAATTTAAGTAAATAAAAATGAGAAAACAGTATTAGTAAGGATTTAGAATGTGATTGAAATGAAAAAGTAAGTCATATTTTACTTTAAAAATTTCCAAGTTTATATTAAAAGCATCATTGTCTTCTTTCAGATCAATTTGCGCCTTATCTTGGTAAGCGGGAAGACAAAAGAGTTCCTGTTTTCTCCTAATGATTCTGCTTCTGACATTGCAAAGCATGTGTATGACAATTGGCCAATGGGTAAGTGGTGTTTTTCTCTTGAGAATGAATAATGTTAATTCTCCGTACTTTTACCTTGTTTCAGAAACATTTTGAGAAAGTTTTAAATATATAAGATATAAAAAAGCCTCACAATTAATTGAGGGTATAAGGCTCAAAGTTAAAGGGGGGCCACTGTATGACCTTCCCTATTTTGCTTGTCAACTACCTCACTGAGAAATGGTAAAGGAACCACTATACCAAGTCCCTGTTTTTGACTTAGCTTGATGTAAATGAAAATTATTTTTTAAAAGTAATGTACAATACAGCTAAGATATACACACTTTCAATTAGTAAACCTATTAATAACAAAAAAAGGAAAGAAAACCACCTTTAACAAATTATATTCTGTTTGGTCTGTTCTTTACAAAAGCTATTTAAAATTGAGTTTGACACAAAGTTAATTTCTAATTCATGTCACTTAATGTGTTCTCTGAACTACTACAAGTCAAGAAGATATAAAACCCATTTGTGCTTTGTATTTTTAATCCAGTGTCCATGACACCAAAATTTTGGGAGGAGTGTGTGTCATTCCTCCCTTCCTCTGGTTATTTTCTGTGTGAGAAGACTGTCTTGCCATCCTAAAGTGAGTCTTTAGCCTGTGTTCTTCCTTTGAACTTTCTTCATGTCATCTTGACCCTTTTATAGCAGGCACCATAGTGATATGACTGTTTCAGTTGATTTCACTTTTACTAGGTAGCGCAATTTGGACTTTAAAGGACAAGACTTGTTTCAATAAAGAACACAGTGTATTAAAAAATGAATCAATTAAATCAGTATCTCTTAACCTTAAATAATATATGGAACTCTGTTAGAGGAAGAAAATTCTTGTAGATTCCCTAGTACTGACTTGACTTATTTTTAGCACAATGTTTATTTTTAAATGTAAAAACATCAAACCAACTTAAAACTCTTTATCCTTATTAACTCATGTACAACTGTAAAACTAAAAAGAGCTACAAGGAAAATCCACACATAACTCTAAAACCAATAATATTAAAATTAACAACAAATTAACTAATCTCTTCCAGGTTATCATTAAAATGAAACAAAATTTAAAAATTCTTAAAAAGGATTTTCAGATCCTAAGAGCATGTTTTTGGTGTTCATAGATCTGAATTTAAGAAAGACTGATTGAGACAGATACTTTCAGATAAACTAGATCTTCCTTCACACTGATAACTACAGGACAAGTCAATGTTAGTCCTAAATCAGAAAGCTACTGAAGCTAAAGGTGATAGGTAGAAAGAAGTTCCAGAAGAGCTGAAGTGGGCTAAACTTGGGGCTCTTGGAATATTGGAATTTCTTCATGGCCAGAGAGGAGAGATAGCTATCAGTATGAAAAGCATTTTTAAAATTGAACACTGATGTTTTGCTAAGTATGACATTACTTTTTGTGATTTTGGAGGGAAGGGGGTGGTAAAGGTAGCTTTTGATATCTATGGATATTGTGGAAAAGATTATACAAGACAAAAATTGAGTAATCCTCAAAAATTTATTTTTGGGGGCAACATTATAACTTGAGGTAAGAGAAATATTTTTACCTTCATAATTGTTTGCATTGGATATTAAAATTAGTTTTAATTCCTTAAAATATCCTGACTAGTGATAAACAAAGGTAAGACTCAAGTGCAGGTCTTTGCCATAAATAATTTCCCAATTGAATGAACTATATACCATTGCTAGGAATTAATTGTATTAATCCTGTGGTACTTATTTCCACAAAAAAAGTTTTTGAACCCAGCCTTTCCTCAATTTGCCAGTTGTACTCTGCAATTTTAAACAATGTAGGGAATAAAAATACATCATTTAATTTTTATTTTACATAAAATATTTAAGTTAAAGATCTAGTTCCACATTGTATCACATAATGCACCAAAGGTCAGCAAATGTAAATATTTATTGGTGCTAATAATAAAAGTGTAGTAAATATTAAATCTTCAAAGAGTACTTTGTACAGTATATTTTTGGAAGGAATTGGTTTTCCTTACAGTTTAGCGGAATATTGCTAATGGGTGGAACAGTGACACATGTAGCTGTTACTGGGTCAGAGGTCCAAAATATAATTCACTGAATGTATGTTCCTGGCAGCAGAAATTGCTCCTTGAGGCCATTGTTTTTCTACAGGCCTCCACGTTTCAAATCCTCTGAAAGAGAAGGGGAGCTCACATATTAAGCCAGTGGTGTATGCAGAAATCAGGACACTGTATAAGATAATTAAATCTGTGTTTTTAAAGTTTATACAGCTCAGAAAATACTTTAAAAGTTTTTAGACTATTTTTCTCTGTGAATTAGATAATCACGGTCATTTGTCTTTATGGAACACTTCTATCTTGACCACAGGTATTCTTTTAAACAGTAATTTTTGGTGTGATGAGTTCAGAGTAAGCCATACAAAACTGTTCAAGGCCCATTTGACGTTTCTTCTAGAAGAGTGATCTGGGAGCGCTAGAGTCAGAAGGAAGGAAGGCATGCCGCAGAGGAGGAAGAGGGACAGGAGAAAAGGCACGAGGGGCCTCGGTGGGGGGAGGGAAAAAGGAGGGGGGAGAAATGACTTGAGATTTATTTCCCCACTACACCTTTCTGCTGAGCTGAGTCACTGGAAAGCACTGGTTTTATCAAATTCATATTCATCATTTTAAACACTAAAAAAAAAAAAAAAAAAGGCAAAAGGAAAGTGTTCCACTTACCCCCTTTTTCTTCTGTCACTTCCTCTTCTGGATATTTTAAACTAGTTTTGTGTTAATAGTTATCCCCTGATAATAGGAGCTTCTATAGGAAATAAACACATCATACTAGAATTGCTGAGAAAGATAATGATGGAATTCTCAAATCTCAATCAAAATCAAAGCTTAAATTACTATATCCCCAAGCTAGTCAAGAATTACTAACGCCACACCCAGTGTCCTCACACCATTATTTTAACAGAGCGATGTATGTATGATAAGCTACATGCTAATGTGAACTATTCCATTACTCACCTCGCCCACTAGTTTATCTTTTGATTTTCTTTGTGTATTTTGTTAGGTTCCACAGTATTTTTTTGTTAGCTGCTGAGTATTTTGGGTAAAGTGAATTAAAGTTGTATCTTCTGTAATGTTTACCAAATGACTTCAAAAAGATAATAAAGCAATAAATCACCATTGTCCAAAAGTATACAAATTTGTTTTATTATTCTCTTTAAAAATTTTTTGTTCTCCACAGTTTTGAGGTATAATTTTTTTTTGTTATTCTCTATATCAATATGTTAATTATTGTTAAAATCTTTGTTAAACATATTGTTTCTAGCCTCCGACATACTTAACAGGTATAAATATCGGAATATTATATTCTCTGTTAATTATTCGTAATTAAAATTAACTTCCAAATGACATTTCTCTTTACCTAGGATTAGATTTTTCATAGCTCATTTGATTTAATTTTTAAGCTTCAGGACTCTATTTTGGCACATTTAGTGTTCTTAAAAAGCAAAAACTAGTCTTTCTGCAGCTCCTATTTTTAAGGAGAAGAGCTAGCACGAACCGAGACTGCAGTGGTAGTGTGAGGAGTGCCTGTTTTACTTAAGTGGAAGGTCCAAGTGTCGTCTTTGATGATGTGCTCTATCTGATTTGGATCAGAAGTTTAGAACAATGCAGTAATACCTTAATTTTGTGTTGAAACACACCTAACAAGTTCACTGGTTCTTTTCAGACTGGGAAGAAGAACAGGTCAGCAGCCCAAATATTCTACGACTTATTTATCAAGGACGATTTCTACATGGAAATGTCACACTAGGAGGTAATAGTTACCTTTGTAATGGGATTTAATGTCTCTCTCATGGCAACATGATCCATTTGTTTGTTTAATGCTAATGTCTCATTTTACTAAAAAATTATAACCTCAAACTCAGTCTGAGTTCTGCCTATTATTTGATGTCCACTTCTTCTACTTGTGGATAATATAATTTATATGTAATATTTAAAGTTAAAGCCAGATACACAAACTAGGGAAGATGTATGATAATTGGTTTTCAAATATAATGATGAAGCAGTGTTTTCAGTTTGACTTTAACTGATGTTTAATAGCCAGTCATGCAAGAATAAAGAGTTACAGTAAAGAGACAGTATCGTATAGTGACTGAGAGATTTTAGAGCCAGACTACGCAAGTTGCACCCTGGCTTCACTGCTTACTGGCTCTGTAACCTTGGGCAAGTGGCTAACTGCTTTGTGTCCTAGTTTCTTCATAATAAAAGGAATAGTCATTGTGCCTGCCTCCAAGGTGGGGACGGTTAAAGCAGTTTATACACTCAAAGCAGTAAGAACAGTGCTTGGCATACAGTGAGCACTTGTTAGCTATAATTGCTTTTTACCTGTGATTGGGGAAACGTAGCTCAATGGTGCCCCCTTATGGGTACATTTTCTACTATCTGCAAGGTTGGTTTTGTTTCAAAAATATTTTGATAATTAGAAATTTGTAGGCAAATGAATGATTTATTTTACTATATCTTTGTTTAAATATAGTCTGACTTTTTTTCTCTAAACCCAACATGAAATGTTTAATTTGGTTTTCCTTAAAGTTAGAGTATTTTCATTCATTCATTGAGCATATACTTCCTTCTGTCCCAGTACTGTGCTAAACAACGGGAGATACAGGATTAACAAGATTGAATCTCTTCTTTCAAGGTGCTTTAATATGATATGGAAACAGACCAAATCCACTGTGTGGTCAGGGCTGGGGTAGATGAGTGCAAGTGATGATTATTACAATGTCGAGTAGGTAGAACTTTTCAGGATATAATCTCACACATAGCCAAGGTCCTTTGTTCTTGAATGTAGATAATGAAGGAGACAACACACAAGCTCATAGCAACTACCTTCAAAGATTCTAACGGCTAGTATGGAGAAGGCTTAGGCCTGTGACTTGCTCTATAATGCTGTTAATTAGAGGTAGGACCAACAGCTGGAAGTCAACGGCAGACACATTTCTATTCACTACTAGAAAGACTATTTGAACAGGGTGAGCTGCCCAAATAAAGAATGGACCTCCGTGGGAGTGAGATCCTTGTTATTGGTGATGTTCAAGCAGTGGGTGAATACAAAGTGGGGATACAGCCATGGATAAAGATCAGCCATTGTGTGGATGTTCAACCAGGAGACCCGGGCGTTCACTGCCATTCTTGAGATTTGGTGGTTTAGTAAGTTTTTGGTTAAAAATTTCTTAAAACATAACCGTTTGAATCTCCTTTTTTGATCTTGGTTACAAAGAATGTCAACCTACTAAAGAAGAGGTATGATAACAGCCTTACCAACAGGAAGATAAAAATCAGCTACAGGATTGATGTTCATATATTCCGGATCAGTGTTTCCCAAAATATGGGTGAGACAGTGAGCATGAGAGTCACTTGGATACTCATTTTAACAAGCCGACTTCTGCATGCCCTCTCTCCCCGTCCCCGTCTCCCAGTCGTCTACCAAACTGAAATCCTGGGTGATGTTTCTATGAAGGTGGAAAACCTCTGTTCTGGATATTGTGTAGTGTCATAGCAAAAGCAGAAGCGTCCTCAGTGAAGGAAAGTGGAAGCATTTCAGATCTTTGTACGCTCTTCCTTCAGCTTCTTTGATGCAGTTGGTATTGGTGTCTACAATTTCTAGTTAAAATTCAAATGGAGAAGGAAAATCATAGCCCTCATCAATCCAAATTTTAGCTTCAAATGGCCAGCCACTCAGCAGCTTTCCAGGCATGTCCAAAATTTGCCTAAATGGTCATTTCAGTTCTCTGCCTGTGTTCTGAGATCCATTTTCCTTGCTGTCTGAGGACATCGATGTTAATGATGAGCACGGCTAACATTTACCGAATGCTGTCTTTGTGCCAAGCCCTGAACTAAACACTTCCCTTGGATTGTTTTGTTTAATCGCTAGAACTGTTAAGGGGCCAGTGATAGAATTACTATCTCCAATTTAGGTGAGGGAAACGGAGGCTTCCTAGGGAGGGGTCAGTAACTCCCCACTCCTTTCACAGTTGGTGAGTAGCAGAGGTGTGATTTGAACTTGGGTCTGGCTGACTGGAGTCAACAACATGGTGTGACAGAGATGCCCAGCGGGACACGTGTCCATTTTAAATTCGGTCAGCATTTCCTGTTACATTCAGTGAAATTTTTAATAACATAAAGTCTTACTGGCATTTTAATGTTAAGTCTGGCCTAAGAGATTACCTGAAAAGGTCCTCCTCTTTTTCCATCATCGCGTTTATGGGCCATTGTGCTTCATTTGAAATTCAGAAGTTAAGAGAATAGACCAAATATTGGGTGGCTGATTTTAAATAAAATGGAAACTCACCTTGAATACATGCAGTATTAATAATATTGAAGATAATCAGCATTTTTTTTTTTTTTTGTTAATCCACATGTTGACCATCATCCAGCAGAGTGAGATTTAAAAGGCAAGTAGCAGAAGGATCATTCTTGCTAAGTAATTGTTGTAAGCCTGCCTCCAGATGGTAACTGGTGAAAAGCAAGTACTTGGGGATGTCAGAACTCAAAGGTCACAACAGTGGAAATAACTCTTGAAGTTAGATATGTCAGACCTTCTAATTATATACACAGAATAATAAAGGAATTTACCATGAAACTTGTTGGTGTTGGCTTAAGTGGCTCATGGATTCATGGTTTTTATATTAATCTCTATATGTCTGAAATATTTCATATTCCTAAATCTTTGTTATTTATGAATGAGAACCTTTTAAAGACTTGATTAGAAAATAATGATTATTAATAATGTCAAGAGAGTGATTCTTTTAAAGTAACATTTTAAAGAAATTATTTTGTAATAGAAGAATACATGGTTGAGATTAAATGTTCACAATTAAATTTGTCATTTTTTTCTGTTTTTACATTGTAGTGGCCTGTTTGGTGCAGTAATTTTATTAAGTGACTGGCATATAATTAGATTTAGAAACAGCTATCTCTTAATCTAAACATCTTCCCATGTCTAGGAAAAGTAGTCTTTAAAAGGATTTTTTTCTCATTCTAGTTTATAAAGCTTTTTTAGTTAAAGTATAGTTGAAATTCAGTATATTCCATTAGTTTCAGTTGTACAACATACTGATTTGACATTTTTATACCTTATGAAGTGATCACCATGAAAAGCCTATAAGCATCTTACACCACACAAAGTTACTGTTATGCTATTGACTATATTCCCTGTGCTGTACATTATGTCCCCCGACTTATTTGTTATAACTATAACTATAAATTTGTACCTCTTAATTGCCTTCACCTTTTTGCCCCCATCACCCAATTCTCTGGCAACCATCAGTGTGTTCTCTGTATCTATGAGTCTGTTTTGTTTTGTTTGTTCATTTGTTTTAATTTTTTAGATTCCACATATAAGTGAAATGAAACAGTATTTGTCTTACTATGACTTATTTCACTTAGCATAATAATTCTCTCTAGGTTCATCCTTGTTGTAAATGGCAAGATGTCATTCTTTGTTATGGCTGAATAATGTTACATTGTATATATGTACCACATCTTTATCCTCTCATCTATGGTTCGGCACCTTGGTTGCTTCCATATCATGTTTATTGTAAATAATGCTTCAGTGAAATTAGATGTGCATATATCTTTTCAAATTAGCGTTTTCATTTTCTTTGGAAAAACACCTAGAAATGAAATTGCTGAATTGGCTGGTAGTTCTATTTTTTAGTTTTATTAAACCTCTATACTATTTTCCATAGTGGCTGTACCAACTTACAGTCCCACCAACAGTGCATGAGGGTTCCCTTTTACCTACATCTCACCAACACTTGTTTTTTCTGGTCTTTTTGATGACAGCCATTCTGACAGGTGTAAGGTCATATCTCATTATGGTTTTTACTTGCATTTCCCTGATTGCTAGTGATGTTGAGCATCTTTTCATGTGTCTGTTCACCATCTATATGTCTTTTTCAGGAAAATGTCTGTTCAGGCTTCCTGTCCATTTTTTAAATTGGGTTATTTGCGGTTTTTGATGCTGAGTTTTATATATTTTTGGATATTAACCCATTATCAGTTGTATTATTTGCAAATATCGTCTCCCATTCAGTAGGTTCCATTTTCCTTTTGTCGATGGTTCCCTTTGCTATGCAAAATATGTTTAATGTAGTCCCATTTATTTATTTTTTATTTTATTGCCTGTGCCTGAGGAAACACATCTGAAAATATATTCCTACGACTGATGTCAAAGAGTTTACTGCCTGTGTTTTCTTCTAGGAGTTTTTACGGTTTCAAGTGTTAAATCAAGCCTTAAATTTATTTTGCATTTATTTTTGTATATTGTATAACAAAGTAGTCTAGTTTTGCTTGTAGCTACATAGTTTTCCCAACATCATGTATTGAAGACTTTCCCCTATTGTATATTCTTGCCTCCTTTTGTTGTAAATTTAAGTGATTATGTAAGTGTGGGTTTATTTCCAGACTCTTTATTCTGTTCCATTGACATATGTGTCTGTTTTTAAACCAGAACCATAATGTTTAGATTTACTATAGCTGTGTAGTATAGTTTGAAATCAGGGAGAATGAGGTCTCCAGCTTTAATTTCATTTACTTCTGCTCTGGTCTTTATGAATTCTTTGCTTCCTCTAACTTTAGGCTTTGTTGCTTCTTTTTCTACTTCCTTTAGGTATAAGATTAGATTGAGACTTCCCTTGTTTCTTGAGGTAGGCCTATATTGCTATAAACTTCCCCCTTAGAATGGCTTTTGCTGTGACCCATAGATTTTGTAATATTTCCATTGTCATTTGTCTCAAGGTATTTTTTGATTTCCTCTTTGATTTCTTCATTGATCCATTGGTTGTTTGGTAGCATGTTTCTCAGCCTCCACATGTATTCTTTTCGGTTTTCCTCTTATAATTAATTTCTAGTTTCATATCATTGTGGTTAGAAAAGATGCTTGCTGTGGTTTCAGTCTTTTTAAATGTATTGATTTGTTTCATGGGCTTACATGTGATCTATCCTGGAGAGTGTTCACGTACACTTAAAAATAATGTGCATTCTACTCTTTTGGGATGGAACATTCCATACATATCTCTTAAGTCCATTTAGTCTAATATGTCACTTGAGGCCAATGTTTCCATGTTGATTTTGTCTGAATGATCTATCCGTTGATTAAAGTGGGTGTTTCAGCTTCCTGCTGTTACTGTATTACTGTCAATCTCTCCCTTTACGTCTGTTAATATTTATTGTATGTATTTAGGTGCTCCTGTGTTAGGTGCATAGATGTTTAAAATTGCTATGTCCTCTGGTTGGATTCATCCCTTTATTATCGTGTCATACCCTTATGTTTTGTTACAGTGTTGGTTTTAAAGCCTATTTGGTCTAAGTAAAGCCACTCCAGCTTTTTTTTTTTTTTAAATTTCCTTTGGCATAGAATATCTTTTTCCATACCCTTTCAGTCTGTGTGTGTCTTTAGATCTAAAGTGAGTCTCATAGGCAGCATGTGTGTGCATCTTTTTTTTTCCTTATCCATTAACCTACCCTATGTCTTTTGAATGGAGCACTTAGTCCATTTACACTTAGAGTAATTATTGATAAGTATGTACTTATTGCCATTTTAATTGTTTTCATACTTGCTTTAGAAGTAGTTGGTCTACTACCTTTATTACATGTTTGCCTTTACTAATGAGATTTTCTTTTCTTTCATATATTTTCTTATTTCTAGTTCTGGCCTTTTCAGCTTAAAGAATTCCCTTTAACATTTCTTGTAATGCCATTTTAGTGGTGATAAACTCCCTTTAGCTTTTGCTTATCTGAGATACTCCCCTTCAGTTATGAATGCTAACCTTGCCTAGTGGAGTATTCTTGGTTGTAGGTTTTCCCCTCTCATCACATTAAATATATTCGGACCATTCTGTTCTGGCCAGCAAGGTTTCTGTTGAAAAATTAGCTGACTATCTTATGGGAGCTCCCTTATAGGTAACTTTCTCTTGCAGCTTTTAACAGTCTCTGTTTATATTTAACTTTTAACCTTTTAATTATGATGTGTCTTGGTGTGGGTCTCTTTGGGTTCATCTTGTTTTAAACTTTCTGCTTCTTAGAACGCTGCTTTCTAGACTTGAATGTCTATTTCTTTCACCAGGTTAGGGAAGTTTTCAGTCATTCTTTCTGCAATAGGTTTTCTGTCCTTTTCTGTCTCTCTTCACCTTCTGAGACCCCTATGGGTGCAAATGTTAATATGCTTCATGTTGTTCCAGAGGTCCCTTATACTATCTTCATCCTTTTAAATCTTTTTCTTTTTGATCTTCCAATTGGGTGATTTCCACTATCCTGTCTTCCTGATTAGGGATCCATTCTGCATCATTGAATCTGCTGCTGATTCCCTCTTAGTGTATTTTTCATTTCATTTGTTATATTCATCAGTTTTGATAGGTTCTTTTTACAATTTTTAACTCTGTGTTGAAGTACTCTACTTGTTTGAAGAGCTTGAGGAGCATCTTTATGACTATTACTTTGAACTCTTTATCTAGCTTACCTCTGTTTTGTTTAGTTCTTTTTCTTTTTCTTTGGAATACATTCTTCTGTCTCTTCATTCTGTCTGTTTCTATACATGAAGTAGATAAGCTGCATATCCTGGTCTTGAAAAAGTGGCCTGAGAAAGTGTCCCGTGGGGCCCATGGGTGGAATCTCACCTTGTCACCATAGCCAGTTGCTCCAGGAGCGTTCCCTGTGTGGACTAATATGGCCTCTGGTTGTGGTTGGACCACAGCTACTAAGGACACTCAGGCAGGTGAGGCCGGTCCCTGGCTCTGCTGGCTGTGAGGCCTGGCCACAACTGTTGTGGGCATACTGGTGTGCAGGGCAGCTCTTTGGTGTGACTGAGTGCAAAGCCCTGCCTCAGCTGTCGCAGACACACTGCAGTATGGTGGTGCCAACCAAGGCTGCCCACTGCTGTGGCAGGACAGGAGCCCCTTTGCGGGGTGGGCAGCTGGGTGGAGTCCTCAGAGAAACACCAGAGTGGTATGAACATTGTTAGCAAGGTCAATGGAGAGTGTCAGAAATGGCACCTGCCAGCATCAGACAGGTTAGGTGGAAGGAGAGTAAAAAGGTTGGGGGAGGATGGCACCCACCAGTAATTCTGATTCTGGAAATTCAAAGTTTCAACAGATCCCTGTCCACCTTCACGTCTGACCAGGTGCTTTTCAAATTGCTACCTCTGCACTGGTTTTCTACAGCCCTTTGGTTCTCCAAGGCATAAGCCCTGCTGGTTTTTAAAGCTGTATGTTATGGGGGAATCTCTTATCGGTGCGAGTCCTCCAGGCTGGGGCTCAGACTCCTCACTCTTCAGGGAGGGGCCTCTGCAGTTGTGATATCTCTCCCGCTTGTCGGTCATTGCACAGGAGGTGGGGGGTAGGGTGGGTCCTGAGTAGACTGAGTCTCTGCCTCTCCTACCTGTCTCAGTGTGGCCTTTTCTTTATATCTATAGTTGTAGAAACCCGTTCTTCAGATAATTCTTAGAGATAGTTGTTCTATATGTAGTTGTAGTTTTGGTGTCAGTGAGAGGAGGTTAGCTCAGGATCTCCCCTCTCTGTCCTCTTGTACCTGGAGCCAGGAGCCTTGCTCTTGAATGCCAACTTGGCTTGTCCGTGAAATATCATTTCTTGTGGGTGGTGCACTGTCCCTGTAACAAATGTAACTCCAGATCACCAAGTCACTTCCCACCCCAAAACAATTTTTTAAATTCCTTCTCTTTTCTATAGGTTATCTCCAATATTAACCAGTTATGTGTTTTCTCTTGTCCCTTCCTTCAACAATATGGTATGTGTGTCAAGCTAATGCCATGGCTGAATTTCTGAATTTTAAAAATTGTTTCCGATAATATTAACCTAATTCCATTTTTTTAAAAGATGCTCTATCCAGGAAGCAGTTCAATCTGTTGAGGAAGTCATACAAAAAACAATCAGTCTTTTAAATGGTTTCAGTTCTGGTTAATGATTTCAATAGCTTGATGTATATGTAACAAATTGTTTTCTTTTTACACAGCATTAAAACTTCCTTTTGGTAAAACAACAGTGATGCACTTGGTGGCCAGAGAGACATTGCCAGAGCCAAACTCTCAAGGTAAGCCAGGCCCTGGGGCAGCACCCCTCTTGAGCCTCAGAGACAAGCATTCAAATATGGCTCTTTTTCTTGGACAAGAATTCTTAGGGAAAGGAAGTTTTTTCATATTTTATGAATAGGCGTTGTTAAGCAAATAACCAGACATTTTGGAAACAGACTAAAATTAAAAGCATTTATTTAGCTTTTTAATTGAAAAAAAATGCAAACATTAAAAAAAACCTCTCTGTTATTAAGCTTGGGTGCTCCCCTTCCCCCCACCTCCAATTGGAGCATTATTATAAATAAAGCTTTTCTTCATTTTCTCTAGGTCAGAGGAATCGTGAGAAGACTGGAGAGAGTAATTGTTGTGTAATCCTGTAAACACTGTCAGCTAAGTGTGATGTGATGTCGTCCTTGTCTTTCATGCTGCTGGGACAGAAGAGACCCAACATTGCTTCAGAAACCCTTAGAAAGTCTGCCTGTAAAGCCATGGAACTGAATGCTCACATGAACACTGTTCGTCTTCTCTCATGAAATTCAAAAGAACCAAGGACACTTTCACTATGATTTTTATTATTAATATTTTTGTTTCTGTTGAGCAGTTTTAAAATATTGGGTTTTGAATGCAGTCAATCTCCAGGGAAAAAGTTAACAAGTCACCTTTCATAGCAGAAACCATTTTGCTACCACAAAAATTTTACCACCAGAACTAACAAATCAAGTGTTCCAAATATAGTCTGCACTAAAAAAGTTTGACGTTTTTTTCATCAGCAGAATTTATAGCATACTTTATGGCACCTAGAAATACTCATGCACAATTCCACACTGAACAACACTCAGCAATTAATGACGTTAATAACTGGGCCAACTGGAGAGGGGAAAAAAATGGAAAAGAAACCAAAATGTTGGGTGATTTCTACCCAAGTCCCTGTGGTGGCTGCACTGGCACAGATCCTAAACTGAGTGTGACGGTCTTCACTGCAACAGTGAAGAAACAAATGTGCCTGTTTGAAGCACTCAGTGGAGAGCTGATGAGCGAATTGTTTTCCTTTAACGCATGCACTCTTCAGTCATAAGTAACCGAGTGCTTGTTCACACAGCACAAAACGGGTGAATGCGTTTTCCTAGCCTTAATGTGGGGGGTGGGGGGGCGGGGGGTAGTAAGTTCCAGTCATTCATAGACTTTCATAGTTGGGCAGAATTATTAGAAAACCTCATTTACTGTTCAATTTTATGTATTTGAATATCAGTAGACTGAATTTTTCCATAATTTTTGCTCATCTGTAATTGTGTCCAGTGTCACACTTACTCATTAGAGAGTTCAGATGAATTCTTACAATTAAAAAATTCTCCATAATTCTCCATAACTGACTTGTTTCTTTATATAGTTTGCATTTGATATTAGTGCTTGCAATTAAAATCAGTTCTTTTGTTTTAAATCAATAATTTAAAAAATTGATATGCTAAAAACAATTTGCACAGTACTAAAGCATGAGCTAGTTTCATCTAAACCTGTAAAAATATAAAAGATTTTATATTTTTTTCACTGGGAAGAAATTCTTCCTGGATGAAATTACAAATATGTGTAGAATATATTTAATAAAAAACTTATAAAATACCTAACTATAGAACTTAAATATAGATTGGCGTGTAGTATATAGAACAATATTCCATATAAATAACTTTAGCCTTTATAAAAATGAAGTTGCAGGCTGACATGTTCTGTACTTTTAAGCGTCCACGGTCCTTACAAATATTGTGTAAAAGGTTTCAGATGGTCAGCTTTGTTTAAAGGTAAGCAGGTTATTTTATTCATTGTTAATGCATTGATAAAAAGGCTTTATATGCAGTAGATCTACAAAAATATTGTTCATACTGACAATTAAATTTGTATAGAGCAGAGTTTTAAAAATGAATGTAAATAGCACTAAACATTTCCTTTCTGCAAGCTGTACTTATAGATTTTTTTCTCTGTAAACTAAAAATATATCGTAGTGCATTTTGTTCATTATTTTAAAGGTCTTGATTAGGTCGATAATTGTTTAAGCACTGTCTCATTCATGTTACAGTTTTCTACTTTTATTTCTTAATCTTTAAAAGTTTGTTTAATATTCTCTTGTTTTGGGAGTTATTTACAATGTATCTTTGATATTTAACCTGGTTAATTTGTGTACAGTCAAAACAATGGATAGAATTATGTAGTCTCTGTTATCACTAAAATGTTATATTCAAAAGATGTTAAATATTTATATGCCTTGTTGACTAGCTCAAATGTGAGTTCTGTTATTGTTGACTAAAGAAGAATCTGGTAGTTACTTAATTGGGCAATTAAGTCATTTATAGCTCTGTTCTTCTTTTGTAAAACAAACTACTGGTAATTATTTTTAATAACTATTTTAATTCTACTTACTCTTCTGTTTTCCATAGTTAAAGACTATCAGGTAATTGTGATTGAATTTTTATGATGGTTAAAAATACTCTCTACTGGTTTTCAAAATATTTTTCTGTATGTTTCCACATTATACATTACCCTTTCACAAGACCTCAATTTAGAGTTTGCAGAATGGATAAACTTGTTTATTCATAGAGAAAGAATTATGTCACTTAATATTTAATATCATTGTGCAGAATAAAAAAAAACAGTAAAATTCTATACTGAAAACACCAAAAATTTAGATGCCTTAATAGTGTATTTGTGAAAATACTCAATTATCTCTCTAAAATAGTTCCTTGGACTGCCTCATGGCTGAAATATGACTAGTCATAGCCAAGGCTACCACTGAAGGTCCCTCTGCCAAAATGACAGCTTACTTACCAAAAGGTGGAAGCTGCATAAGACCCAGTGTCGTAAATAAAGCCTGACTTGTGGGCCTCTGACTCTGTCCAGCGCGTGGTATCTAATGCACCCCTTTTACCTAAATTATGCAAGACTTCATGTGTCCTGCACAAGGCAAAGCTTTCCTTCTGTATTAAATTCTCAGCATGTCTCCTTGACCTGAGCTGTTTGTTTTCTCTTCTAGGTAAGTTGTATCTTATCCTGTCATGAAAAGTACAGTATCTCACATCGTCATTCACATTAAATGAGGTTTTCTCATAACAAACATATTCTTAGTTTTATGTCATCTTGACCTTTGTTACAGTAATTTCTATTAGCTGATTGTGGTAAACAATGTTTAATGTGAAAAGAAATTAAAACTTTATTCATCTGTTGTAGAATACTTCCCTTTTTAAAAAATGATTTCTAATTATAATTTTGGTGTATTTTCCTATTCTTTACCTCTCTACTGTTTTTTTCCTTTAATTTCTTTTATTACATTCCTCAGTAATACCAGTACTGTGTGTGCCAGCCTTTATGCTAGGAAGAGAAGGGATCAACCAAAACTTAGTGTGCCTCCATTCCACCCTTATTGGTAACTCACAGGCATGTCTTCAGTTTTTCCACTAACATTTCCATAATACTATTTCGTGTTAGTGATTGGGTGAGACGAGGGCTTGAGAGAAGAGTGTAAAACTTAGATTGATGGTGGAAACACAAGTGCTTTTTATCTAAGGCTTATTTTTAAGGTCTTCCCGCTTCTTGTTTCCTTCTAAAAGCCTTTGAACATAGCATCACCCACATACCTTCTGACACTTTTATAAGCTATATTTGTAAAGTCTGGAGTACACATTGATGCCTAGTGCTTAATTTCCAACAGAAAGCCTTTGACAGGTTTGCCAGTTTGTGAAATGAGTCCTTGGGCAAATCAGTGCTCTACATATTTATTTTAAAATAACCCTTCAACCCTACAAAAATAGGTAAAGATAAGTTGTATCTTATTCTGTCATCCAGGCCCACTTTTCTGGCCAAGGTGAAGTGGGCTTCTGGGACATGGACAGTAGGAGACTGGCTGTGACCCTCCGCCACTTATCTCCTCTGGCCACTTAGTGCCCTTTCTTCAGAAGACTGTACCATATATGAAGCTCTTTTACAGACATGGTAGGAGGGAGGCGACTTCTAAAAGAGTTCATGGGCAAAGTTAAGTGAGAAACATCTAAGGTCATTTTGTGGTCTTTGATCTCAAAATGTTCTATCATATTTTTTATGTTCCACCTTTTTTTCAAAATGACAACTTTAAAGAAGAAATACAGAGTAGACACAGTAAATCAACACTTGGGGAAAGGGAATGTCAGTGTTTCCTACAATTAAACCAATACAGAGGAGTAGGGTAAGCAAACATAAATTTCTGAAGATGAGTTAGGAAGGGATTTGTTCCAATGGTCTCATGCAGAGACTCTAGTTTCAGAGTGTAGCTGTCAGCATTCAATCATCATTTAGTGTCTGATTTTTAATTTCTGCACATTCTGGAGCCTTAAAAAGAAACTACCATGTACTGAGAGAAACTTCACTCCATTTAAACAACATGAAGAGGGAACAGACTCCAGAAGGCAGTAGTGACTGACCATCAGCGGGCAAGAACCTCCAGGTTCTGGTTGGTACTGCATTTGTGCAGACAGTCCGTGTGGTCATCAAATGTGGAGATCAATTCAGTCTCCAGTGGTCTGACTTCACAAGTTTCTCCAGCATTCTGGAGCCTGGCTTCCCTCGCATTCTCCTTATCTGATTGGGTTGGGGGAGTGGGGAGCTTCTACTGGGGGCATGCTTTCCTGAGTTCCACTAATTTATCTGCCGTTTTTTCCCCACCATCGTTTCTCAGAAGCTTTTTTAAAAAATAGGATTATTTGAACAGTCTGTTTTGACTGACAGTCATTTGGTCCTTGAATTTCAGAATCCCACAAGAATAGCTGGGCTTGGGAGTCAGGCCTGGTTTCAAGCTGGGTGATTTGAAAAATTACTTAATCTTTGAAGTTTATTTTTTTACATAAAATATGAGTAATACCTACTTTTGTAGGGTTGAAGGGTTATTTTAAAATAAATATGTAGAGCACTGATTTGCCCAAGGACTCATTTCACAAACTGGCAAACCTGTCAAAGGCTTTCTGTTGGAAATTAAGCACTAGGCATCAATGTGTACTCCAGACTTTACAAATATAGCTTATAAAAGTGTCAGAAGATATGTGGGTGATGCTATGTTCAAAGGCTTTTAGAAGGAAACAAGAAGCGGGAAGACCTTAAAAATAAGCCTTAGATAAAAAGAAAAATAGAGGACTCAGTAATACACCACTGAGACTGCTTCAGATACAGATTATAGACAGGTTAAAAAGCTTGGACAATAAACAGAGAATTGGACATGTTAACATGAACATAACTCGGTCAACATCTAAGACAATTTATTGACCAAGATAGAAAGATAAGAACTATGCATCGTTCAAATGAGGTCTGATCAGAGTGGGGAAGCAGCACTAGGGCAGGAAAAATCCACGTGGAGCTTCGTAGGCCTGAGAGCTGATGTGGGTGAGGAGAAGCTGAATTGTGATTGATAACAGAGACAAAAATGTCATGGCATACTACTGCATGTTTCCTCAGATTCAGGCATCCGTTTCTGAATTACCTGAACAAAGCCCTGAGACAGGTGTAATGATGAAATGTCTTACTTGCTGAGAGAACCATTTACCCTTGACTTGCTGATTATGCCACCCCATAGGTTAACAGAAGTAATGGAACTGCTGCACCTGGGTTAATTTGCTCTCAGAGAGAATGAATGATTCCAGTGGAAATGTTAGGAGTCTGCAGAGGAAACAGTTGTGACCTCTTAGATCTACATGATGACACAACTGATGAAGGTCTACCCTGGCGATTGCTTTCCCAAGTTCTTTCTTCCTTGCTGTCTGAGCTCTGATTTTCTTGGACGGAAGGGGACAGTTTGCCCTGCCCCACTTTCAGAGAAGTACGGCTTTATCACAGCCCCAGGGCCCAAGCCCATAGCCTTTGGTGTGGTTGGTTTAGGAGTGGGCCTGGGGCCCAATCCTGGCCAAGGATACTTGAGGGGAGCTCCCCTGTGGAGGCTCTGGGGGAAAGTTCTCACTCCCGAAAAACTTAGAAGAGACTTTGTATTTCTCCTCTGGACATTGTCTTGTCTGGAAGTGATGATCGAAACTGCCACACCCACCTCAGGACCCTGCTGGAGCTAGCGTGAAGGCAGAGCAGAGACACTGAAGGTGCAGAGTAAAAAGATAGAAAATACCTGGCCCCTGAGGACTCATGGGGCTGCTGGTTCTGCCCAGCATGAACCCCCCTTCTCTAGACTACTGGATAGGTAATCTCGTGTATTTCTTAAAGTTCTTCCTACTTCCACTCAAAAGCATGTCTAATGATAACCAGAAGGGAGAGTTACACTTCAACACATACTTCAAGCTTTATGAAATTAGCTTACAAAAGGATGAGGAAGATGATTCTGTATTCATATCTCCCCAAAATAAATCTCTGTATGATCACAAATTATCTTGGTGATGAATGAAAAAGGCATCTAAAGAGACCATTGTGGCTACAAGTCAGCTATCTAATCTCATAATTTTAAAAGGCATGAGCAGAAAATGAGAAGTAGGATCTATAAATCAGGGATGGATAGCAAATGTCAAAACAACTCTTGAAAATAATGTTAGGAAGGCTTCGAATGAGCGCAGTTGACAGAAAATAAAAAGTACGTGTTTGTTGTGTTCAAAACAGAAAAGCAGTGCTGGGCTACACTGCTAGTTGTCCACACCGCTGTGCGTGGGAACCCCTAGGGCCCTTTAAGGTTTTACTTCTCAGTATTGAAACCTGAGCCTCTTCCATCCACTGAATTAAAGCTGAGCACTTGTGACTTGGAGCAGTTGCCTTGGTTTTTGCAGATGACCAGAAACAGAACCACATAAATACCAAGAATCTGGAATACAGCGGGGGACACGTAGTTAAAATGGTGTTGGACACCAAGCAAGATGATGGAGACAGGAACAGGGTGCCATCTACTGTGGGGTCAGGTCTCCAGACCCAGAAATCTTACACGTCGGGGTTCTAAGAGAACTCATGTGCCCTCCAAGCAGTATTGTCTTGCCTGCCTCCCAGGGCCATTGTCAGGAGAGAAGGAGGAGCCCAGACCCTCACCTCCTTACGACCTACACAGCTCACCACCACCAGCTGCTCTGAGACCACAGAAGGCCCACACAACCACGTCCCTGCTTGGTGTCCTCACCATGACTCCCAATGTGGCCCTAGGGAGTCCCTTTCTGTCCCATTTTCTACCACTCATCCCCCCGCCCATGCCAGGAACTCAGGACCCAGCAGAAACCTACCATTTGGGCTCAACCTCTTCTCTGGGAGTCCCTTTCATTCTCTTGCCCTGACCCCAACTCTCCTCCAAGGGCACTCCCATCCCTGCAGTCCTGGGGGTGTCATGTTCTCACGGTCTATCATCTACTGAATGCTTACTTGGTGACAAACACTGTCTTAGGGTCATGACATAAGCCTGTTTACAGGTGATAAAACAGGCCCAGAGAAGTACAGCATATTTTCGAACAGAGAGTTTGTTTTCTCAGGCAGAGGCCATTCTTGAAAATACTTATTCGTGAACATCTCATGATTATGTAAAAGTACGAAGAAACAGAAACTAATTCCTCCTCCAGTATCAGCTATTAATATCTTGGTGAATGTTTTTCTAGTCCTCTTTATTAACACCTATACATTAAAATAAAAAGTGCACTATATACTGAGTTTATATACTGTTTTTCATCCTTAACATATCAGAAGCATATCCCCACTATTGTCTTCTTTAACAACACACTTGTTTACAGCTGTATAATACTCCATTTCACAGGCATACCATTTTCATCTGTGCATTGAATAAAAGTTTAATGTTAAAGCTACAGTGCAACAGCACTACCTCCTCACTAGAATGGCTGAGATGAAAGGATTGACAGCATCAAGGGTTAGCAAGGATGTGAAGCAACCAAAAAGCTCGTATATTCCTAGTGAGAATGTGATTGAGAAGAACTTTTATAAAACTATTTTGTAGTATCAACCAAATATGTGTCTATTGTATGACCCAAACATTTTTCTCCTGGATAAATATCCAACAGAAAAAAAACAAAACAAAACTGTGCCTGTCCATAAGCGACATCTACATCTCCACAGCCACTTTATTCACAAACAATGAACAAACTCAATGTCTATCTATGGTAAAATGGA